CTCCTCCTCCTCCTCCTCCTCCTCCTCCTCCTCCTCCTCCGTCCGCAGGCTCCTCCTCCTCCTTTTCCGCTTGGCTCGCCTTCTCGTCTTCGGGGATCTCCCTCCTCCTCCACCACCGCATCACGTTGGCATCACCCTCCACGTCGCAGCACCAGAAGTGCAGGTTGGGCGGGCTTGGCACTTCGCCTGGAACTTGCCACCTGTCGTCCTGAAGATCGAAACAGAGCAGCTACACGAATACAGGGCGAATGGATTTCATAATGAATATCCCGCCCTCGCGCTGCACACTCGTCTTCAACGAGTCCGACGATTCCACGGACGGAGGGCGAATCGTTTTCACTGTATGACTCCCGGCGCAGCGCCACGCACGTCTGCCCCAAGATGCCCTAAGAGGGGTCCAAACCGGTGCGCGGACGGCGCGCGGCTCGTCGTCGAAGCCGGCACAGAACTGCGTGATGGTTACGAAGTATACGGATGGAGGGCGGCTCAATTTCGAAACAGCGCTCTCGATGGGCGCTCCACTGATGTGTATGGCCCTGCCTCCCTGCATATAGTACATGTGGGCGGACTGCCGGTGTTTTTTTCCCCAACGAGAGAGGGAGGAGTAGAGGTGGTGGGGGAAAGAGAGGAGAGAGAACGGGTGAAGCAGATGCAGATGCGAGGAGACAGGGGGAAGCGGATTGGAGTGGACGCAATCACAAGGTGATATCAAATTGATCAATATTGGGTAATGGCAGCTCGAAGTGCCTGCTGAATAGAGGTAAGAGCATGAGGCCACAACTCGTGTCAGGAACCGTGTTCCAACCTGCGGGGGTATTCACGCCGCGTGACAGAAGAAGCCGATGTCCGAACAGAGGATGGAGAAGGAGAAATCAGAAGGAGAAGCGAGGAGGGAGGAGGGAGGAGGGAAGGGCTGCCTTGACATGAATCGTCGTCGTCCTCGCTACTGGCACCGTTAATAGGATGCCGATACGAGAGATTGAATGTCGAAAAAGTACGACTGCAAGCGAGCAAATATCAACATATAGAGAAGCAGAGGCATGCCAAGCCAGGCTGTGCAAGTTAGACATGTACTAGCGGCAAGCGCGCACTTAGGCCTGCGGCCCGATAAAAAAACAAAAAAAAACACTCCATCCATCTGCGCCAAAAATCTCGAGCGATGCTGGGCATTACTTACCCTCCTCCCCCCTCACACTGCACGGCTGTCATAGTGAAGTTGCATGGCGAAGACAACTCGGAACAATCACAAGCGAGGCCGAACGCGGCTGCCATCACAATGCCCGAACAGATCAGCGGACACGGGGGAGGAGGAGCCGAAAGGAAGGATAGAGGGGGGGGGACAGATGGGCCCAGGTGTGCGAGACTGGTGCCCGAGTTCCAGGGGGGGGGGCCTTCGGAAACTGCATGGGCTACTACAGTCCACCCGTATCATCAGGGTGCGAGGAAAGGGCGCAGGGGCCTGGGAAGGCCACGTCGACACTTGCAAGCGGGGCGCGGCCAACGAAAGCGGCTAGGGATGGGCCGAAAGGGGAAGAATGCAAAAGGTACCCTTGGGAATGCTGCCCAGCCCAACCCTGAGACCCCAGGACGTCCATCGATTGTTAGTGCGGGAACGTCACGTTTTCCACAGCAAAACCATCGAAACCCAAGAAATCCAGGGCACCCTGGAGGCGAGCAGGGTGTTCCTTGACATGGGCTCCAACTGTAGCAGCAGGATTGCGACGCCGGGGTCCAGGCAGAGCAGGAGAAGCACAGAGTCAAGGGGCGAGCCTGTCGCCCAGGTCTGCGAGGCCCAGCTGGGCCACGCGGCGAGCCGTGGTGCCTGCAGGCTGTGCTACATGGAACGTCAAGATTCGCTCTTGTGTTAGGTCGGGCAGGTCCCCCTACAGGCAGAACTTGGAGGATAATGAAAAAAATATAACAAATTATCAGGCATGGTCGAATATAGTCAAACGATCATCCCCATACTACGTTTGGCTATGCTTGAATATTCCCCCTGTAGAGGGACAGGCCCGACCTAACTCTGGTGTCTGGTTGGCTGGATGAATCACAAGCGTCATACGCGAGATTGAAACAGTGTGTCCACGCATGAGCTGATCTGACCAACTCGTGGCCCCAACACTGGCGACAACAACATTACAGGGCTGGCCTTGCACTTGTCAACCAACTCCCCTGTGCATTCACTCACGGAGCCGCTTCGGCGAGAGACAGAGCAGATATACGCAGTGGCAGAGGGACACAGGTGAAGAACATCACAGCGCGCTGACATAGAGGGAAGTAAGGAGAGGAAAGGTACGGAGATACATTTATATATAGGGAGAGAGAGAGATAGAGAACAAAAAAGGGGAGACATGTATAGAGCGTGGAAGAGAGAAAACAAGAGAGAGAGGGAGAAATAACAACAAAAGCACAACAAGAGAGATAGAGACATAAGTAAATAGGTATATAGAGCGAGAAAGCGAGGCAGAGAGGAAGGATGCACGAACAAGATGCATGAGCAGCAACAAACAGTAAAGCCTACAGCCACACACTCGTCCGCGGCGTGGAACGAATGTCCTCGACGGCCCCAAAGCGAATCAAGGCGAGGGGGCAACGTCGCTGAGAAGAACAGACAGGCTTCCCTCTGCCTCTCTGCGGATCCTCTGCTGCCACGCCACTCCACACGAAAACAGTCGCTGAACTCAACGGATATACAGTAGGAGCCCGACCACAAGAAACCTTCCACAAGAAACCCAACCCTGGAACCCTAGGACGTCCATCGATTTTGGGTGTTGGAACATCGCGCTCTCTATCGCAAAACCATCGAAACCCGAGAAAACCAGGGCACCCTGGAGGCAAGCAGTGTGTTTCGTGGCATGGCCCCCCACTGTACAGGGGGAACTGTGAAGAAATGGAACGCACGTGCAACGTCCTTGCAAAGCTGTGGACGCGGTGGGGGCCAGGGAACCACAGATGACCGAGAACTGAGAATATATTCCGAGAGCGCCAAGGCTGTGAGATCCGCCTGGATACGGAAGTGTCAGACTAATCGGGACGTGAAGCTATGTAAGACGAGTGTGCGCACAGTTGGGCTGTTAGAGTCAAACGAAACATGACTCTCGGACCCAACGGACTGTCAAAAACAAATGAGAACCTTCAGGTAAGGCGTGGTTTGGGGAACAAACGCACGGGTGAATCATTCTGGCTCCACTGTCGGCGCGAAGACTGAGCAACAAATACCTGTTCTGCACAGACGGCGACAGCAACAACGCCACCGCCATGAGGTTCCTTTCTCCACCTGGTACCCCTCCTCTCTTATGCGATGCGGTCCTCTTCCCCGCCTCGTCGCCCTCCCCCATCCACTCACCCCACAACCTACGTCCACCCCACAATCTACAACGCCTCCTCCTCGTCCTCCTCCTCCTCCTCTTCCTCCTCATCATCATCAGCAGCATCATCACCCTCATCCTCATCCTCCCCCATCCTCCTCCTCAGCATCAACATCATCATCCTATATCCTCCTTTTCCTCCTCCTCCTCCAGCTGCGGTTCCCGAAACGCACGGCGCAGTGCTCAACGAAGAAATCTCTTCCGGCTGCAGGAAGCCCTGGCGCGATCGGAAGGGCAACGAGGAACACATGCGACAATCAGCTCAGAAACACATTGGAACAAATGGCGGCGAGGAAAAAACGAGATAGGGGGGACACGTGACGGGGGGAAGGAAGCGGGACAGGGAGCGAGAAGGGGCAGGCGAAGGCATGGAGGGAAAGGGGAAACGGAGGCAAACAAGAAAGAGAGGATGAGCAGTAGAGAGACAGACACTGAATGAGCCAGTACGTGTAAGAATTAGATGGGGACGAACATATGTAGAATGTATATATATATAGAGAAAGAGAGAGAGAGGAAAAAAGAGGGGGAGAGAGAGAGAGAGAAAGCACAAAACACACATACACACAAAACCAAACTATATAGGGAGGAAGGGAGACGGCGACGGAAACAGCGCAACAATTCGGCCACGGGTGTACGGGCCTGGCGGGTGGTGGCGCCGCCCAGGCCACCCTCGCACCGGCGGGATGCGCCGCTTGCCAGAAAGGGGCGGGGAACATCCTCCCCCCTGGCGCGATCGACAAGGGGCCCCGCCTGGAGAAACGGGAGGGGCGCGGCGATGGGGGCGCGGCCCGCTCTCTCTGCGCGCCCGCGCTTAAGGGAGGCATCAGCCTTAAAGGGCGCTTCGGCGTGCACACCCCAATGTTAGGTCGGGCATGTCCCCCGACAGGCGGATCTCGGATGAAAACATCAATGACTCACTGCGTGGAGCTCCCCATACGTGGATCTCTTCTGTTTCTCTTTTCGCACAAAAACGCATTGGGATATGTATATGCGTCTCGCCATCTGAGCTATATGTGCATATCATGTTGTAGGATAGTGCCATGGTGGGTATTTCTGTCAATGATGAGATTGACAGAAAAGCGCGTTCATGTGAGCGACGAGCACACGGGCGCGTAGCTCGTCTGTACTTTCAACACATGTACACATTCATTAACATGCATATGTTGCCGCATTGGCTGCCAAGGCACAGTAACCAGCGCCCTCGAGGGTGCTGAAAACAGCGTCACGCCTGAGACCTGCTCCAAATCTGATACGAAAGCAAGACATGTTGAGCCACAAAACAAGCGAACCGCCTAAGACATCCCCACAAACTGGCCGCGAACGTGCCCGTGTCATACCCCCTGGCGGCTCCGCTTAGGGGTGCTGAAACCAGCGCCCCGCCTGAGATATCCTCCAAATCTGCGGACAGCAAAGGACGTTGAGACAGAAAACAAGCAAACCGCCTAAGACATCCCCACAAACTGGCCGCGAACGGGCCCCCGAAAACACCCCAAACGGTTCCCCGCAGGGGTGCTGAAACCAGCGTTCCGCCTGATACATCGTCACAAACTGCTGTCAACGCGGATGATGTTGAGCACGGAAACAAGCAAACCGCCTGAAACATCCCTGCAAACTGGCCCCGAACGGGCCCGCGAAAACACCCATCAGGCGGCTTCAAGGGTGCTGAAACCAGCGCCCCGCCTGAGATCTCTTCACAATCGGCTCTAGACGCAAACAAAGATGGCCACCGAAACAAGCAAACCGCCTGAGGCATCCCCACGAACTGAGCCCGTGTCATACCCCCTGGCGGCTCCCCGTAGGGGTGCTGAAACCAGCGCCCCGCCTGAGACATCCTCACAATCCGCCCTATCCGCACACGAAGTTGGCCACCGAAACAAACAAACCACTTGAGACATCCCCACAAACTGGCCGCGAACGGGCCCGTGCAATACCTGGCGGTTCAACTTAAAGGTGCTGAAACCAGCGCCCCGCCTAAGATATCCTCACAATCTGCTCTAAACGCAAACGATGTTGACCACCGAAACAGGCAAACCGCCGGAGACATCCCCACGAACTGGCCGCGAACGGGCCCGTGCAATACCACCTGGCGGTTCCCCTTAGAAGTGTTGGAACCAACGCCCCGCCTGAGACATCCTCACAATCTGCTTTAAACGAAAACAATGTTGGCCACCAAAACAGGGAACCGCCTGAGGCATCCCCACGGACTGGCCGCGAACGGGCCCGTGTCATGCCCCCCGGCGGCTCCCCGTAGGGGTGCTGAAACCAGCGCCCTGCCTGAGACATCCACACAATACACCCTATCCGCACACGATGTTGGCCACCGAAACAAGCAAACCGCCTGACACATCCCCACAAGCTGGCCGCGAACGGGCCCATGCAATACCACCTGGCGTTTCCCTTTAGAAGTGTTGAAACCAACGCCCGGCCTGAAACATCCTCACAATCTGCTCTAAACGCAGACGATGTTGGCCACCGAAACAGGCAAACCGCCTGACACATCCCCACGAACTGGCCGCGAACGGGCCCACGAAAACACCCCAGGCTGTTCCCCGTAGGGGTGCTGAAACCAGCGCCCCGCCTGAGATATCCTCAAAATTTTGCTCTAAACGCAAACGAAGACGGCCACCGAAACAAGCAAACCGCCTGACACATCCCCACAAACTGGCCGCGAACGGGCCCGTGCAATACCATCTGGCGGTTCCCATTAGGGGTGCTGAAACCAACGCCCCGCCTGAGACATCCTCACAACCTGTTCTAAACGCAGACGATGTTGACCACCGAAACAGGCAAACCGCCGGAGACATCCCCACAAACTGGCCGCTAACGAGCCCACGAAAACACCCCAGGCTGTTCCCCGTAAGGGTGCTGAAACCAGCGCCCCGCCCGAGATATCCTCACAATCTGCTCTAAACGCAAACAATGTTGGCCACAAAAACAGACAAACCGCCTGAGGCATCCCCACGGACTGGCCGCGAACGGGCCCGTGTCATATCCCCTGGCGGCTCCCCGTAGGGGTGCTGAAACCAGCGCCCCGCCTGAGACATCCACACATTCCGCTCTAAACGCAGACGATGTTGGCCACCGAAACAAGCAAATCACTTGAAACATCCTCACAAGCTGGCCGCGAACGGGCCCATGCAATACCTCCTGGCGGCTCCCCTTAGGGGTGCTGAAACCAGCGCCCCGCCTGAGACATCCTCCGAATCTTTCGAATCTGAACGAATGACTGCGACAGAGTCTTGGCATGTGTGAATCCGAAAGAATATTAGCATGAGAGAATCTGAATGTGAACAACTAGCATGAATGCGAAGGAAGGAATCTGAGCCGAATCTAAATAGGAGGAGACGAGAATGGGAGGAGGCCTGGCTGGCGAGTCGGCGGCGCCTGAATAATGATTATTGCGTGGAGCCCCCCATATGTGCATCCATTTGCATGGACCTGTCCGTCGGGAGCGTCTAGACGCAAGGGTTTTCGAATATAAATGGGCTTGGGTATTGACAGACTGGGAGTGCACCCGCCCCGCAGACGAGCCTGGCCACCGAACCAGGCGACCCGCCTGAGACATCCTCGCAATATGAGCTCCTTGCGGTGCTGAAACCAGCGCCTCACGTGAGACATCCTCCGACACTGCTTTGAACGCAAACGACTCTGGCCACCAAAACAGGCGAACCGCCTTAGACATCCTCACACTCTGCGGCCATTCATGTATTGGAACACTGTAGGAACATATGCAAAACACATCGGATTGCAGCCTCCTGGGGCCCTCTGACACCTCCTGGGGCTTCCTGGGGCCTCGTGGGGCCTCCTGTGCCCCCCTGGGGCCTCCTGGTGCTCCTGGGGCCTCCTGGGGCCCTCTGACACCTCCTGGGGCTTCCTGGGGCCTCCTGTGGCCTCCTGGGGCCTCCTAAAACCTCCTGGAGCTTCCTGGTGCCCCTTGGAGCCTCCTGTGGCCTCCTGGTGCTTCCTGGGGCCTCCTGGAGTTTCATGAGCCGCTTGGTTGGGGCCTCCTGGGACTTCCTGGGGCCTCCTGGAATTTCCTGGGGCCTCCTGTGACCTCCTGGAACCTGTTGAAGCCTTCTGGTGCCGCCTGGCGCCTCATGGAGCCCCCTGGGGTCTCCTGGAGAGGTTTCCGAATCTGGGCACCAGATTCGGTCGTCGTCTGGCGGTCGTGGGTCTGATAATGCGTGAGTCTGGGTATGAATGAGTCTGAGTGAGAGTGAGTCTGAGTGTGGGTAAGAGTGGGTGTGAGTGAGTCTGGGAATGAATCTATGAGTACGAGTCTGGGTCTGAATGGGTCTGAGAACGAGTGAGTCTGACTACGAGTGAATCTGAGGGTGGGTGGGTCTGAGTGTGAGTGATTCTGAGCGTGAGTGAATATGCGTGTGAGTGCGTCTGAGTATGAGTATGATGGGTATGAAACTGGCTATGAGTGGGTCTGAGTACGAGTGAGTATGGCCACGAATGACTCTGAGGGTGGGTGGGTCTAATTGTGAGTGGGCCTGAGTGTGCGTAAGTCTGGGTGTGAGTGAGTCTGAGTATGAGTATGATGAGTACGAGTCTGAGCACAAGTGAGTCTGGGACATCCTCGCAATCCCCCCCCCCTGGGGTGCGAAAGCCAGTGAGTCTGAGTATGAGTATTGTGAGTACGAGTCTGGGTATGAATGGGTCTGAGTACGAGTGAGTCTGACTACAAGTGAATATGAGGGTGGGTGGGTCTGAGTGTGAATGATTCTGAGCGTGAATATATCTGAATGTGAGTGCGTCTGAGTATGAGTATGATGGATACGAAACTGGCCCTGAGTGGGTCTGAGTACGAGTGAGTCTGACTACGAAGGAGTATGAGGGTGGGTGGACCCAAGTGCTGAGTTCGAGTCTGAGTATGGGTGAGCCTGAGCACGAGTGAGTTTGAGCGTAAGTGAGTCTAGGACATCCTCGCAATCTGGGCCCTCTGGGAGTGCGGAAATCAGCGCCTCGCCATAGACAACCTCAGAATCTGCTTTGACAACAGACGAGTCTGACCACCAAAACACGCAAACCGCTTGAGGCATCCTCGAAATCTGGCCCCCTGGGGTGCGAAAACCGGCGCCTCGCCTGAGACATCCTCAGAATCTGCACCGAAAGCGGAGGATGTTGAGGACCAAAGCAGACAAACCGCCTGAGACATCCGCACCATTTGGGCGCAAACGGAGGCCGTGCAATACCCCTGGCGGCCCCCCC